AAAAAAAAAAAAAAAAAAAGTCTCACATTATTTCAATTTTTAAAATTTTAATGAGCTACCAACTTTGAAACTTACTGCCAGTTTATGGGTTTATGAAAAATAAGATGAAACTCAAAACCGAAAGAAGCCATACATTTTACCACCTAACAAATAACCTTAGCTGGCCTTTCATTTTTTCGTTTCTAGTAGTTATAGAAAAAGTTTTTAAAGATCCCAAGGAGCAGAAAACAACACTCACTGGATACGACTTTTGGCTTCCCCATGTTTGTCTAATCAGCAAACATCAACAAGAAGCAGAGGCATTAAGACTAAGGATCTGGTGGCCACTGACTAGGGGTATATGCTTAGGGTAGCTTTCTCTTCTCTGAGCCCCATGTTTCACGGGTTTGATTAGGACACCAACTATTTCTAATTAAACATGAAAGTTCAAAAGCCTCTGTAGTGAGTGAATGCTGGGATATGCTCCCTCCCAAAGTCCCTCAAGGATGAAACACTAGTCCCAGCTGCTGGGATTGTTAGTAACTGACAGTTCCATTCTGGGGAGCAGGCTTGCACTCAGTGACTGGCTCATTAAGAGATATAAATGTGGGTTCCTCTGGCCTCAATTCAGGGCACCTCTGCATGGCCACCTCAGCCCTCGAACTTCTCAAAGTGTCAGTTGAGGTCTTGTGGCAACTGCATCCCAGTTCCACTTCGACCTCTGCCCAATCCTGCTTCCTCCATTTCACAATAGATTTTAAGCCTGAGAGTATGTCCAATATCCTTTATGCCCCAGTAAACCTCCATTTCAGGGTCTGTCTTTTCAGAAACCCAACATGGGACAGGCACTAAATCGCTCTTACTTCTGTGAAAACAGCAATGGCTCCTGGAGGCAGCAATGCTTTAGGGTTACATTTAAACCATAATCAGGAGTTATGAAGCCAATACTATTGTCCAATAACTATTTTTTAAAACATGCTAAAAAATTAAACATTTATTTCAGAAGAAGAAGACTTAGGTAGAAATATAGAAACTCTACATATTAAGATTTTCATTTACTACTCGAACAGTAAAGAAATATGTATGGTAGCCTAATTTTTCAATGAGGACAAAACCAAATGAGTGCATTTTTTTTCAACCCTTTCCTTCTTTAGGAAAAATAAAGCCTTGTACCAATAACTGAAAAATAGAGAAAGCTATAAAGGTGGGGGAAAGTTAAGTAAAAATAGAGAGTAAAAGAGAAATTTTGCCAACAATAAGAGAAGAGGTAAAAATCCAAAATATTCTTAAGGAGAAGAAAATTAAATTTATAAGTAAAATACAAATAAAAGAAAGTATCATTCCATTGTTTAGAACTCTGAGATTATAGTGAAAGAAAATGAAAACATGTATATTACAGTTGCTCCAAACTCTTTAGGTCTCATTCAACACACTGAAGTTTTTAATATTTGTTCCTGAATTTTATAGAATTCTTATCTTTTAAAGTTTCCTTTCAAGAACTGGTAACTTGTTCTCTTACCTCAATTATTTTTTTTTCCCTCTCTACTGTTCTCCCCTCTGATGCTGTATATGAAGGTTTCTACATATGTAGATTTCCAGTGAGACAAGCCAAAACATTCTCTTAGTAGAATACCTCTCCTGCCCACTTTGGAGTTTACTTTTTATCTCCTTCTTGCATAAGTCAATTTCTTCTGTATTCTTCAAACAAATAATTGGAGAAATCTTAAATGAAAATTGACCTTGAAATGGTAAGTGGTAAACAGGGGCATATTCTCTAACATAAGTATAATGATCTTCTCCACAATTCAAAAATCAACTGTCTACTAAAAAAAATTAGATTTTTCAGAGGTACTTTGATCTTGGCAACGAGAGAAATCCTGGGTCCTGGTAAAGTAGCAACAGCTGATTCAGTAGTCATGGAACGACTCTGCATCTGATCTCTGTCAGGATAACAGAGGGTCTTATTTATTGTCTCTTCCTTGGTCCTGCTAAATAGGTACTGTTTTCTGTTTACTTTTCCCCTAGCTTTAGGCCCTGGAACAATGTTGAACATAGTGTCACTGGCCCTGGTGCCAGACAGGATCAGGGGCTCTGAAATATTTACAGTTTCCCTTCTTTTGCTTCCATAAATGAAATGGACAGTCTGAATGGAGAAAATCAAGGGCCAGCTGGCTAAAAACACAACTGGCAGCAAAACACTTGAGACTCTTCCAAGAGCTGGTGTTTAAAGAGAGGCCCTTTAAAGAGCAAATTCCAACTACAATAATGGTTCAGGACACTAACTGTAGGATGAAGTAGTCTGATTTCACGCAAAATTATTTGAATTTCTAAAGTTTGGAAACTATTACATGTCCTCCTCTTTTAGTCTTAGAGTCCATCCCTTAACATAGGCAAGTCTTTATGTCCATACCAAATGATAAATCCATACTCTATACTTCAATAATGTTAAACAAATTCTGTGCCATGGTGGCCAAAGTCTTGTTTCTGCTTAATTTTATTCCTAGAAAAATAAACAAAACTGTTAAACAAGTGAGAAGGTAAAGAAGAGAAACCAGAAATGACATAAGCATTTAGAAGGGACAACATGGAAGACAGCCAGCCACTTAAACTGATTTGGGAGGTTATTAATATATCACGAGTCCAACGGACAAAGAAATGCAGATTTCCTGATTTAAAAAATAAAATATTACTCCAACTTTGGTATTTTAAAAAATACAATAGTCTGCTTGGGGTAAAAAGTGTTTCAGCACTGGAAACCTCACAGATAAATGCTAATGATTTTTTTTTTCCCCTTGCTGGGCTCTGATAATGACAATCGTGGGCTGGGCATTTATTTAACCCTAGAATCTCCAATAGGTGCCAAATCAGAAATATGTGTAACACTATATTCAGAGAGAGAGAGAGGTACAATCCAAACAATTCTGTGCATTATGAGGTCATCATTTTTTTACAGCCCAGGAGCAGATAAATTTGAAGCTGATGTACTAAAGCTGCCTCTTTTTATACATACACACGTGCATCAGAGATTGGGAAGAGAAATGGAACGAGGACCTAGGTAAATGGCAAAGGGGTCCCAGCCAGGTAAGTGCCTTCAACAGTAGTTCTTTGATGCTACCATCTGGAAACAGATAAAGCCAGTAGCTCGAGACCCCCTGGGAGGAATTACCTCTATATAGGGCACAATTTTGCAGGAGAAGTCCTCCAGCAGCCACTTCTTGGTGAGCTCGTGGAAGATGACGAGTGGAAGACAGAAGAAGATGATGAGGAAGTCCCAGAAGGCCAGGTTGGCCAGCAGGGAGTTGGAGATGCTCCGCATGTAGTAGTTGTGGCACACGATGCACATGACCGCCAGGTTGCCGATGATCCCGGTGCCGAAGATCACCACGGACAGACACATGACAGCGTAGGCGCCGTACGACTCCTGGGTCAGCGGGTAGAAGGGGTTCTTCAGTCGCACGCGCCGGCTGGTGCTGTTCCCCCGGCGGACACCCCCGCGGTCGTGGACCCCTTCCTCCGAGGACCCGTTCTGGGCCAGTGCCCTGCCAGGAGGTGCAATTGTCCGCCCTTCGTACCCAGCCAGCTCACTGACGGTCTTGGGTGGAGGCTTGTGGTGGGAACCCTGGAGCCTCCCGGCCCTCCTCGGCCAGTAGAAGAGATCACTGGGTCCGGGCACCGTCCTCACACTCTGCTCCTGGCTCCGCCCGGAAATGCCAGAGCTTCTGGGAGTCTTCTCATCTTCGTGTGAGATCTCAAGTAAGAGCTGGAGGGCCGTAGGGTCCCCTCTCCCCAAAGTTTCAGGGAATTCCTGACCCCGACCTCCTTTCCACCTCCAGGGGCCAGGAGGCCTGGTCGGAGGTCCCGAGGGTTCGGCTGCAGCTGCCTCTGCCCCTCTCCCCGCACCTGGGTAACTGCCTGGGGCAGCAGGTAGGTCCCAGGAGGGCGCCCCCAGCACGGCGGCGGCCTCTGGCTTCTCCCACGGCGCACGGACTCGGACCACGTCTCTTGCAGTATTTCTCGGTCCCCAGGCGTCTCTGCCGCGTCGCTGGATCAGTAGAGGTGAACAGCTCTCCCCTAGACAAGTTCGGTTCCTAACCGCAGGGGCGGACCCCCGGGCAGAAGAGGCAGAAACGTTAAGCAGTAACAGAAGCAGCAGCCTCGACAGGCGGACGAGAAACGCGCCCTTAGCCCGCATGGCGTGGCAAGGGCGCACCCAGCAGCCGCGGCTCCTGCTTAGGACCGACACCTGCTGCCTAAGTTACTGCGGAGAGTTAGACACATGTCACATACTCACCCCCGCCCGGGCAGCGGGGGACCGGAGATTACCAGGAGGGTGGAGGATGCGTCCCGTCCCGGGGTCACACACACACACCCCTACAACACTGCCTCGTTTGGCAACCAGTGCATTTGTAAGACAAATCCAATCCGAGCGAGGCGTTCCCTCAAGGTTCACAGAGATAAGGACTACTCTTCGCGGCTGACCTTGAAAAGTTGCAACCAACACCTCGCTGTTGATTAATGTTGCAAATGGGGAAAACGAACGAAGCCCCAGGCTCCTCCCTGCCTTTGGGTGGCTGCCTTCTGGTAACAGTTGCTCTGCTTATTTACATCCTTTCCACACTGCTTTATCCAGTTGCAAGCCCAGGTCTCCAGAGAGAAAGAAAAACAAGTCCCCCACTCCCAGACGACTGGCAGTCACAATCCCTCTCCCTGCTCACTGGAAACAGGTTGCAAACAGTCAGACGCAGCGCAGATGCTCAGACGAAACTCCTGCCCCACCTCACCCACAACTGCCGCGAAGGAGAAGCAGATTCCAAACCCGCGGCCACCGTCAAAGTTGCTTTTCCTCCAGCTCAAAGTTGACGGTCGCGGGCTGCTGGGCGGCTTGCCGTAGCGGGGGAATCCGGGGCGAAGGGGGAGAAGAGCGCGCTGCCGGTCGGCGGACTGGGGCTGGCAGCTGGAGCTCGTTACTGCCACCTCGGGCGCAGCAGGGCGGAGAGCGCGGTGCCTGGAACCGCCGCGGGCGAGGCGGTGCGCGGGTGGGAAAGGGGAGGTGGCCCGGCCTCTCCCAGCCGCTCCAACCGCTGCGCGCACTCGCGAAACCCGGCGCTCGGCTCCTAGTCTCCTCCCCCTCCTCCTCCTCTTCCTCCTCGGAGAGATGCGGGTTTGTGGGGAGACGGGATCCCCTGGTGGTTTACCACTACTGATCCCACACACGTTTCGTTCTTGCTATTTGTAGCGGCTTTCACTCCTCGGAGCTGGAGGCGGCGAGGGAACACGGGCAGGGTGGAGGCTTAAAGCCTGAACGGCTTCGGGCGAGGGATGGGCGTGACAGGTTAAATCCCCAGTTGTCTAAACCAGCCAGACCGGTCCCGGAGTGGGGCGGGGGGTGAGGGGGATGGGAACTTGGGAAGGGTAGGGGAAGTGGAGGAAAAGGAGAGGGCGGTAGGAGAGAGGGGACAGACACCGCGATCCCCTCCACTCGGCCGCAGCCGGTGCGCATGCCCAGGCCTCGGCCCCGGAGGGAGTAGTAAGGTGAGACCCTCACCTCCTTAGGTACTGCCAAGAGCTGAGACTGGGGACAAGAGGAGCTCAGAGGTTTCAGTCATAAAGAACTGCCACTTCTGGGGGTGGGAGCAGAGTGAAAATGCTCGGGATGCGCTGAGTTAGAAAGCCTCCTGCCAGAGGTTACTTGGAACCACCCAGAGCACAATGGAAGTGGCTTTGCTGGATGAAGTAATGGAAAATAGGAGGAAAACTCCTGGAGCTGACTCCCCAGCGCTGATCACACCTCTCCAACCTTTACACTGTGCCCCCCAACCCTGTCACAGCTGTCAGGGTATAGCTAATAGAATAGACAAATATTAGACAAATTGACTTAGAGAAATTGGTAGAATTAAACACGTTCTGGATTTTTTTTTTTTCTTAAGCAACTTATCTAGAGAGAAAGTACAATCAAAAATAAGACTCCAGTTGCGGCAGGGAGAATAATGGTCCTCCCACAGGTCTCCACACCCCAGTCCCTGATCATCAATGACTGTTACTTTACAGACAAAAGGGACTTTGCAGGTGTAATTCAGTTGAGGGTATGAAAATGGAAAGATTATAGTGGATTGTCCAGGTGAGTCAGAGCAAAAGCCAGGCCATGAGCAATCTGTAGAAGCCGGAATAGGAAAGGAACAGGCTGTGTGGGCTCATTTGAGACTTCTGACCAAAGAACTATGAAGTCCTAAGTTTGTGTTGTTGTTTTCTTATTATTTATTTATTTTTATTTTTTTGGAGACAGAGTCTCACTTTGTTGCCCTTGGTAGAGTGCTGTGGCGTCACAGCTCACAGCAACCTCCAACTCCCTGGCTTAGGCAACTCTCTTGCCTCAGCCTCCCCAGTAGCTGGGACTACAGGTGCCCGCCACGACGCCCGGCTGTTTTTTTGTAGCAATTTGGCCGGGGCCAGGTTTGAACCTGCCACCCTCGGTATATGGGGCTTGCGCCTTACCCATTGAGCCACAGGTGCCACCCCAGTTTGTTGTTTTAAAACACTAAATTTGGGATCAGTTGACATAGTTACAACAGTAAACTAAAGAACTAAGGGATCTGAAAATGTAGTCACAAAGAACAACTTTATAGAAAAATATAAACTACCAAAGAACAATTTTATAGAAAAATATAAACTGCCAAAACTAGACCAAGAAGAAAACTTTTAGAAACCTGAATAGAACTATAACAACACATTAACTGTCATGTGAACTGTATTTAACGCACACTAGTTTTGAGCATATAGAACTGGTAGCAGGCAGGAAAGTCCCTAGGGTGCCTGTTCTATGAGACCTCTGCTCATGGTTTTCTCTGTCAATGGAAATATAATTCACACAAAGAAACAAACAACAACAACAACAAAAGAATAGCAAATTTTTCATTAAATTAAAGAGGATCTTTGTTCAAAGTTTTTATTATATTTTTAAATAAAATACTATGACCCCCAAGGGAAAAATTTTTTTTCTAGCCTGGTAATCATTGTGTTAATGAAATCAAATCATTCATCAAGGTCTACCCACAAGAAAGCACTAAATCTTAACATATCCTAAGGAATAAATATATATTTATATAAAATGTTTAAAGGTTTTGAAGCCAAAATAGCCTTAATATCAAATTAGACAAATGAAGAAAGAAAAAAGTGTAGGCTAATAGCATATATTCATTTATACATTAATATACTCATTTATATATGCTAATTCATTCTGCCAATTATTAGTTTATTAA